TACATTTCTACTGTGTGATATTCTTGACCTAAGATCATGTACATGGGTGCTGCAAGCAATAATTAAGCAATGGACTTGTACTTGGAGGCTGCATATAAGTATGGTTTTCCATTAAGGTCAGATCAACAGACAGTTAAATTAAATCCTGTATTTCATTACTTGTCTACTTGAATCAAATGCCATTAATCTGTCTTAAGTTCTGTTGGCGATTTATTGTATAATACACATCACATCCACTGTAGTTGACTGATCATTTATTTGAAAAATTTGGTGGATAATATTGGGTATTAATTTTGTCGAAAGTCAATGTATTAGGAATGAAAGCAAAAATGATAAAAGTTGAATTATCATATTTCTCCTTTCCTTACCCTCAAAAAATCAGTTACAGATAATTTATCTAATCAAAAATTATTTTCTTTATTTTTTGTGAAATACATTCTTTTAGAGTGAGAGGTGACCAAGGAGTTGAAAATGTTAGTATAGTGCAACATGGTCACTATTAGAGGTTGTGTTCGGGGCAGTTTCCTGTCAGGAGGAACATATACAATCAACAGTATTTATAGTATATATTATTTTAGTCCAAAATGTTTGGATGACTGTAACAAATGTGCACTACGAGAATCTTCACAGTCTTGAGGATGAAGATCTTCTAGATTGCTCCAATAACATCTACCTGTGCCTTGCATGTATTTCTTCCGCATCTATCTATCTATCTATCTATGGTCATCAGGGCACTTGGGGCAGCAACCCCCACACTGAAGAAGTGGCTCCAACAGATCCCTGGGGAAACATCAGACATCTCACTCCAGATGTCCCTTGTACAAGTCTGGTGGAAAAGATCTGGTATCAAATTACAGACCAGTTTCTTTGCTGCCTCAATTCTCAAAAATTCTTGAGAAATTATTTGACAAAAGATTGGACAGTTTCATAGAGAAGCATAGTATCTTAAGTGAAAATGAATATGGTTTTAGAACAAACCAGTCTACAGGATTAGCCCTCATGAAACTTATAGATGACATAACCACTGCAAAAGACAATAAACTATACACAATAGGAATTTTTATAGATCTTAAAAAAGCGTTTGACACAATTGATCATGACATTTTACTTCATAAGATGTTTAAATATGGTGTCAGAGGGGTAGCTCACGCCTGGCTTTGTTCTTATTTAAGTGACAGATGGCAATATGTCTCTTTGGGTAAAACTGATTCTGGACTGTTGAAGGTTAAGTGCGGCGTCCCACAAGGGTCAGTCCTTGGTCCAAAGTTATTTATTCTGTATCTGAATGAACTCTGTGATGTGTCTAAGTATATGAACTCCATCCTTTTCGCAGATGACACTAACTTTTTTTGTTCCGGAGAGCACTTATCTGAAATCATATCTACTGTTGAAAAGGAGATGAAATTGGTCAAAAAATGGTTTGATGCAAATAAATTGTCGTTAAATACAAGTAAAACAAAATTTATGATATTTGGGAACCGTAAAATAGATACAGATGTTAAACTGAACATTAACGATAGAGAAATTGAAAGAGTGTCAGAAGCAAAATTCTTGGGTGTCACGTTGGACCAAAGACTGAACTGGAAAACTCATATAAATCATGTTAAATCAAAATTAGCAAAATCAATTGGCGTAATTTACAAGGTAAAGGATTTATTGAACCAGTATGACTTATATATTTTGTATTGCTCAATTGTAGTCCCATATATCACCTACGGCCTGGAAATATGGGGAAATGCATACCCTACCCATACGCAACCTATTTTCATCTTGCAAAAAAGAGCAGTACGGATTATCACCAATTCAACTTACAGAGAACCATCAAATAAATTATTCATTCAATTAAGAGCATTAAAATTTAAGGACCTGGTGGACTACAAAATAGCACAGACCATGTACAAAGTACATAATAATTCATTGCCGTGTAAAATTGTCAATATGTTTAAAAAAAGGGAATGTAGGTATGAGCTCCGTGGGACACATTTGATGGAAAAAATAAAAACTAGAACTAAGATCAAAGAACAGTGTACTTCGGTTAAAGGTGTGAATTTATGGAATGCCCTTGACGATGAATTAAAAACGTGTCAAACTATTCACAAATTCAAATTGTTGTTTAAAAGCAAGGTGATCGAAAATTATAGAAAAAATGATTGAGGTTACGGATTAATTTATATTCTGGATTTAATTTGATTATTATTATTTATTTTTTTCTTTCTTCTGAGTCATCTTTTTATTCTTTGTTTTGTTGTTGTGTTTTGTTTTTTGTTTCTATCTAACGTGTGGAATAAGATGTTTTGAATATTTTGATTTAGTCAGAAGGATAGGCGATAATAAGCTTTTGCTTCAGCCTATGCCTTTTCGGTCCGGTTTTCTTTTCTTGTAATTTACTGTATATATTGAATGGATATGACCAGATCGAAATAAACTTCAACTTCAATTAGCTCAAAAAAAAGAGTGCAGTCCTAGGATCAGCAAGGATACTGTGCAGGACCTTCAAGCTCCCTGGTCTCTGATGGAGGACCCGAACTTGAGGAGACACAATCCTGCCCAGGGTGGGTGAGAAAAGAGTTCGTTTAAAACTTAGCAGATGTACATAAAGCATTCACATCTCCTAAATGATACTCTTCCTTTATATTTCTCATGCTGTTCAATAATGCCCAGCTACCGCTCATACTGATTGACAGACTCATTAACAGGTAAGTTTTAAAGTTCTTGTCATGATTTCCACATAAACTGAATAAACTACCTTCAAATATAGTTTTTAAATGTAATTTTACCCCCCTCACAAAAATAAATAAATAAAGACCCCGTGCTGATCTCATTCTCAAATGACATGTTATTTTCCAAAGAAGAAGAAAAAATGACCTCAGGTCTGTGTTATTATGAAGGTCATTGTGCATCTCAAACAAGAACATTTTGTAAAGATTATGAAATTGTCTGGATGTGTTTCTGGCAGGCACTACCTTGTCCCTTTAATTTATTAAAATGTCAGTACAGTGCTGTGCAATTCAGGCATCAGTGTGCTGACAGGTACGGGACATCATTATGACTGGCTTCAAAGGGACAGTGGAAAAACATGTCTCGCCTTTGAAAATACAATTCCACAGGCGGTCAAAGTGAATACCCCCAACACAAATGAACAGACATATTTTAATCATCTCGTCCCCATCTCATATCTCTTGTCATGTGTGCCAGACAACATTAATAGAGTTTGTCAAAAGCTGCCACCCAGGGGTATAAATGTGGACTTGAGTTCATGTGTTACACAGCTAACAAACGGTGAACTGAAATCAATGGATGTGACTTCAAAGCATTAGACAGACCTACTAAAAACTTCAGTACCATAAAATGAGCTGGTTTAAATAAAATATGAATGCTGCCAGCTGTGACAAACCACAGTCACTGTGTTTCCTTACAATGTAATCTGTTAGGAATGCTTTACAAACAATGAACTAAACCGGAACCCATGGTGCTGGAAAAAGTCTATTTTTAAAGGGTGCTACCTCTTCCTTAGCGTACACCTTTCTTACATATTGGCCAGCTGTGACCAGAGACAACCAGACCACAAATGTCACATCAAACTTATTTGCTGAAAGGAGTTAGAACTGTAAGAAAATAATTTTTGTAGGCATGCTAACCTGTTGGAGCTAAACATTGGATACTAAATCCATAGCCTGACAGCAGAGTTGGTGGGTCTATGAAAAACTCAAAAGTTGTGACCTCAGCCCTGATGTTTCTAAAGCTGTGTCAAAAGCAAAGCTCAGAGAAGAAAGAGATGTGAAAAAGGACAATATTCAACATATATGCAAAAGCACACGTGCACATTTCTGCATTTATAGAGAAATTCAATGTTAGGTGGTTGGATCATTCTAACGATGAAAAACAGCAGGATGGAGACAGATAACTTTCTTTGCAGCACTATTACTTTTAAGCCACACAGCATCGCCATAAAAACAACTTCAACATGAAATTCACTTCCTTTGCAACCTGATCGCATGTCACACCACCAACCATTCAGAGGCTAGGATCTAACTCAAGGCAAATGTGAATGAACCACAGAAGTACATTCTGCATTTCTTGCTCACCATCACAAGTAGCTGCAGGAAAAATAGTTTAACTTTTCAGTTTGCAAATATAAACTTGTAAACTCTTTGTTAATAGTTCTCTGTATATATTCTGCAAGTATTTCCAGCTTCTATAGCTTAACTGAAACACATGAATTATCTCAAATACTTCACTGTGAAAGCTAACATATCCATCAATGAATACTCAGTAAAATGTCAATAATAAGAAATTATACGTAGTCTTAAAATATGTCTGCATAAGTTCTCTTCACTTTTCTGACATTGCCTTCAGCAGAAATGTTCAAAATGTTTTTTTTAATCAATTCATTTTTTTTTTTTTTAACAATCTAATCTTTTAACCAGCTTGAGTCTGCACAGGCGTCAGCACTGTACACGATCCCGCCGAATCACTCCATCCCGTGCGACTTTTAACCCACTTTTAACCGGTTTTGAGCAACTTTTTAGACTGCATTCCTAAATTTGTTGGCTTTTAAGTTGAACTTTTACCGTGTATGGGTTTTATCCATAGACTGTATATAGAATGGACAGAGTCTGCCTCCTGGCTGGGTGAAGCCACTCCGAGAACAGCACCCTCCGTTGATGGGCTGCAGTATAGGTCATAAATCCCGCCTCCGCCAGCGAAGCTTATGGAGCTGTGGACAAACTTTAGAAATTTTTTACACAGAACATAATTTTTCCTCCCCCCTGCTTGTGATGTTGACATGTAGTATTTGTAAGACTGGTTTGTGCGCAAGTCCTCTTTTTTTCTGTGAAGCTCCGTTTTTAAACGTTATGAGGGGGTTCATGTTAGCTATAATTGACACCTGATACAGCCTATGGGTGTTCAGGGATTGCGAAGCTCTCCCGGGGGATACACTGTTTGAGCCGAGCGTCATCACAGCGACTCCCTTTACAACCGCTTCTTGGCCCTGAGGGATGAGGCTCCCGCTGACCCAGCCGCTGCTCCGGCTCCACCTCTCCTGTCGGACCCAGCTCCAGCAGAGGCGGCTCCCTCCTCCGCTGCGTCGGCTCCGCGGATGTCCAACATGGACCAGGCTCTGCGGCCCTCCTCGACCGGGATTCTGTGCCGCAGGCCGTCACCAGGCTTTCAGAGAGGCTCCCCGGGCCGGCAACACCCTCACTCCACCTGCGCCCGCTCACTGCCTACAATCACCGTCCCCTGCACAGGTGGAGCGCCCAACACTTGGAGGCTTCAGCACGTGCACATCAGCTCCTTGTCCCCTTTCCCCCCCGACCATGCTCATCATCGGAGACTCCATAACCAGGTACATCAGGTTTTTCAGTGCCATAACTCACTGTTTTCCAGGTGCCACAGTACCTGTCATCCTGGACAAACTTCTGAATTTACTCCCCTCTCTCCCCTCATTGGTCACTAAGATCGTGCTCCATGTCGGCTGAAACGACACGTCCATTAAGCAGTCCAAAATCAGAAAGAGGGATTTTGACTTGCCTTTTAATGTTTTAAAGGACACTGGACAGACAGTTTTTATCTCTGGCCCGATCCCCACTCTCGGTCGTGGAACAGAACGTTTTAGCAGGATCCTCAGCCTCCATACCTGGCTCCAATCCACATGCCCCACTCACAACTTCGGTTTTATTGACAATTTTAATCTGTTTTGGGACCGAATATTACTTTTCAGTCATGATGGCATCCACCCCAATAGGCGGGGTAGCTGAATGCTCTCTTGCAACATCCAGTACATGATCCACTCCTCACCTGTCTGACAGTCTGCACTCAGCAGCCCATCTTTCCACACTCAGGCCACTCCCCCTCCTCCTCAAAATAACCTCTGGTCATCTCAAAACAGTCCCACAATCCCCACTCATTCACCGGCCAACCCCCACCTTCCTCTGCTTCCTCTTCTTTGAGAAATTTCGGTATGGTTTTAGAGCAGGTCACAGCACTGAGACTGCCCTCCTCCGTGTGACCAATGACATTCTTTTAGCAGCAGATAGAGGGGAGGGCGCAATTTTAATTCTTCTAGATATCAGCGCAGCTGTTGATACAGTTGAGCATGCTATTTTAATTGAACGTCTTAATAACTGGGTGGGTATCAGGGGCACTGCTCTTGGCTGGTTTCAGTCGTATCTTTTAGAACAAACCTTTGCGGTCACCATAGGCAATCACACCTCCTCTACTTCTTCTGTCGCCTGTGGTGTACCGCAAGGTTCAGTTTTAGGTCCAATTTTATTTTCTATCTACATGCTGCCCCTCGGCCAATTAATTCAGTGCCACCAAGTCTCCTTTCAATGCTATGCAGACGACACACAGATATACCTTCCTTTGAGACTTGAGGACCCAAGAGGCCTAGCTGCTGTCATGGACTGTCTAAGTGCTATTAAAAGTTGGATGGCAGAAAATTTCCTACAACTAAATTATTCAGAATCTGAAATAATTCTCTGTAACATACAAAACTCCCCCCTCATACAGCCTTGTCTAGGTCCACATTCAGTAATCATCAAACCGACAGCCAGAAATCTGGGAGTTAACCTTCAATTCAGACCTCACCTTCTCCACCCATATCAACAAGATTGTCCAGTCCTGTTTCCTTTACCTGCGTTCTATTGCAAAAATTAAACAAATGTTCACCCCACCAGATCTCGAAAAAATAATCCACGCCTTCATTTTCTCAAGATTGAACTATTGTAACTCTCTCCTCCCTGGTTTAAACAAAAAATTACTTTCCCGCCTCCAACTAGTTCAGAATGCAGCAGCTTTGCTTTTAAGTGGTTTTAGCAGACGGCATCACATCACTCCAATTTTAGCCTCCCTTTACTGGCTTCCTGTCAGTTTTAGAATTGATTTTAAGATTTTATTGATTACTTTTAACGCACTTAAAGGACTCGCTCTGAGCTACAATTCAGAGCTTTTAATACTTTATGAGCCAACTCGCAGCCTCAGATCCTCTGGCGAAGGCCTCCTAGTCGTTCCAAAGTTGAGGCTCAAAACTAAAGGCAATAGAGCTTTCTCCGTCAGAGCTCCTCGACTTTGGAACAACCTGCCAGAGGAGATAAGGCGTCCTGAGACAGTTGGTTCTTCTAAGTCAAATTTAAAAACTCACTTTTACAGACTTGCTTTTATGTGATGCCATCTTTTATCTTTTTTATCTTTTTTCTTTTATCTCTTTTACCTCTATCTTATTTGGACTTAATATCCTTTGAGCTTTTGTTTTACTTCTAATCTTTTCTTATTTTACCGTTTAGGTCCTTTATTGATTTTAATGCTTTTTTCTGCTCATTTTTATTATTCCATTTTATCATTAATATTACCATCATTATTATTTTATTATGTGTCGAGGCAAACCTCCAAAACTCAGATTTGTACTCCCAAGATGGCCACCCATGGGACAGTCAAGATGGCCGCCCCTTGGTACACCTAAAATGGCCACCCTGTACACCAAAGATGGCTGACCTTCGGGTGTCGGCTGATTAGGAACACCTGAAAAGCTGTGTGAGTTGTGGCAGAGAACAAAAGAGCAAACAACTTCAAGCAGAAGCAGCTCCACAAAAAGGACAAAGAATCAAGAACCACTCAACTATACAAGTTCCATGATGCTAATGGTCGGTAGTCTTTTCACTTACCTTGTGTGTTTGAAATGTGTTAGAGATGCTGCTTGTTAAGTGCTACTGTTAAAATGTATTGTGGGAAAAGGCAGTATTGCATTGCAGCAACATTTGCTTTAAGTTTAAGTACTTATTTGTTGGTAGAACTTTATTTGAAAAGGCCCTAATTTATCTTGCTTATTTGCTTAAGAGGAAGGTCTAAGTTAAAAGTTTAAAATTTACTTACCTTGGAATTTACTTACCTTTTACAATCTAAAAGTTTAGTTTAATCTAAAGACAATTTAAAATGCTTAAACATATCATTTAAAGTTTAAACTCAATGTACAAAAGTTACGAAAATAATTGAATGTTTAACTTGATAAGCTGCCTTAAAACACTTAGTTTAAATATATTAATTGGTTAAAACATTGGTTAATTAACTAAAAATGTTTAATGTGTTTTTAAATTAATTGCAACATTTAAAAATTTAATTATTAAATTATTAAAAGTGATTTATTCTTTGATATGGCATGTTGCTAATTGTTGTTTCTGTCTTGAAGGTTTACAACCTGATGAAAAGAACAACCAATCAACAACAAAGAACCAAATGAAAAGTTGGAAAATAAAAAAGTTGATTGAGTTGGAAATTGAGTTGTCCTGGGTCATTTGGAACTTAAAACTGTGGGGACTTGACATTATGATTGTATTATCATTATGAATATCCTCTTTTATACTTACTATCCTGTTTCCTGCTTTCTGCCCCCTTTTTCTATTTCATTTCTTCTTACCTATTTTATGTTTTTATTTTGGTCCTCCTTTTTCTATTTCATTTCTTCTTACCTATTTTATGTTTTTATTTTGGTCCTCATGGTCTCATTTTATGTTGTAGGGTTCTTGTATTGCCTGGGTTTCTTTTGTTTTTATTTCCATGTACTGATGTTCTGTTCTTTGCAACTGTTGCCAAAGCCCTTTGTAAACTTCTGTTTTTAGAAGTGCTATATAAATTGAGGTATTATTATTATTATTATTATTATTATTAACAACTTGACCACCAACTGAAAAACTGAAATGTTTACTTTGATGTTCTCTCATGCTACAAGATGGTGGTACAGCCCAGAATCTACAACTATGATACTGTAGCACCAAGACAACCATGGGTGTGAAATTCACACATTCCTCAGAGGAAAGGTCCCTTATCTGGTCCCAGGACACAGGATCATATAAATCTTTCCAGACTTGTTTGCACTTTCAGGTTGCCTAACTGGCCCAACAGGAGGTTGACCGAAACCTCTGACCCTTCACAACTGGTCCATCCGGAGAACAGAGACAGAGGGCTCTATTTTCGGGACTCGCCGCGGCCTGGCGCAGGCGCGGCATAAGTCAGCTCTGCCACGCCGATAAGGCGTGCCCAAGCACACTTCGGTATTTTGGTGAGTGTTCCCCCTCCCAGCAGCTTAAGTACCAGAGAGGGAGGAGATAAGGCGTGGAGTGGGTTTCACCAATCACATTCACAATCGGCTCCTCTTCTCTCCTCGAATCCACCACCAGCAAGGCGTATTACAATTTTTGTGCAGTAGTCGAAGAGATCAAGAGCTGGCTGTAGACAGCAATGCCACATGATGGTGACAGAAGGCAGCCCCTCAACAGGTGTCGCTGTAAGCGCTGCAGAGGGCATCTTCCCCACTTTCACAAATAAACAGAGGGATTTGGTGTGTGTAAGGTTGGACCCACTGGTAAGACGAACAACCTTTACCACAAATAAAGACAATCACATCAAGTTGCATATATTTAAACCTAACACAACAAAGGTGGGTTGTGTGCACAGATCACAACATAAACAAAGCCAGCAAAACAACGTGAGGGATGTGTGGATTCAGACCCTAGCCTAGAGAGAGTCCCAGTGCTGTGGAAGACGTCCTGTCTCGTTCCTGTCCCAAAGAAGTCGACTCCATCTGACCTTAATGACTACCAACCAGTTGCCCTCACATCCCATCTGATGAAGGTGCTGGAGAGGTTGGCCCACCTGAGGCCACAGGTGAAGGAGCTCTTAGACCCTCTACAGTTTGCCTACCAGCCCCATTTGGGAGTTGACAATGCTGTCATCTACCTGCTGCAATGAGCTCATTTGCATCTGGATGGTGATGGCAGCACTGTGAGAATCACCATCTTTGACTTCTCCAGTGCTTTTAACACCATCCAGCCACTGCTGCCGGGTGAGAAGCTGCGGGTGATGGGTGTCGACACCTCCATTGTCTCCTGGATCACTGACTACCTGATGGACAGGCCACAGTTTGTCCGTCTGGGCAGTGTTCTGTCTGACGTGGTGGTCAGTGATGCAGGAGCTCCACAGGGGACTGTGCTGTTCCCTTTCCTTTTCACCTTGTACACCACTGACTTTCAGTACAACTCCGAGTCATGGCACCTGCAGAAATTTTCTGATGACTCGGCTGTTGTTGGATGTATAAGCGAGGGAAGGGATGGGGAGTACAGAACAGTGGTGGATAACTTTGTGGAGTGGGCTGGACGAAATCACCTGAGGTTGAATGTCACCAAGACCAGAGAGATGGTCATCGACTTCAGGAAGAAGAGGACACTGTGCATCCTGCGAGAAGATGTGGAGGAGGTGGAGGTCTACAAGTACCTGGGCGTCAGTGTCAACAACAGACTGGACTGGAAATCCAACACCTACGCTGTCTACAAGAAGGGGATGAGCAGACTCTACTTCCTGAGGAAGCTGAGATCCTTTAACGTGTGCAGCAAGATATTGGAGATGTTCTACCAGTCTGTGGTGGCCAGCGTACTTTTCTTTGCCGTGGTTTGTTGGGGGAGCAGCATCGGAGCCAGTGACACCAACG